TCCTACAAAAGACAGAGGATGTGACAAAATAAAAACAAATATGGGAATATGTTTGAATTCAAGTTACTTACCCGAAACTCTTTGCCAGGTTCAACATTGAACCTGAGGAAGACCAAAGAATATATCAGCCAGAACAGTGATGAAAATAAAAAAACATCATCCTTGTATTTGCTACTTCTCTCCTTATCATATAATAATTGTGTTTGTCCCTCTCTTCATTAGTTCCTTAGTTTGCACGACCAATATGTCCTGCCAGTACCTACTAAATAATGGACGATTCCATTTTGATTGTACGAAAAGATTTATTTTATTTTATTGCACTGGTTTATATTATTTTATTTTATGATTTATTATGAACTTACTATGGGCTTATTCAATCATTAACTGAAGAATTAAGATTCATCAGAAATTTAAAATAGGAAAACCATGAATTTTTCTCTGGTTAAAAGTAATTATTATTACTGTTATGTGTTTTTTGTCCAAAAAATATTTAATTTAACTATTTTATAACTTAAAAGCAACTTGGTAACTGATGAAACTGACAATTGAAATTTCATCTTTGATTTCAAATCAATTTGTAAAAGAACAAACAAGTTTTCTGTGCAAAAACATCTTTAAACACATTTGGGATATTTGCAACTGTGGGCATCCATACATTAAAAAAATGAATGCAAAATGTATCAAGTACCTATTGCAGATTTGAAGGTCACATAAAGACACCCTCCACCCCTGCTATGACAGATTTATGGCACAACTTTCTTGTTCTTCCCACCTACCTTCTTATCTACGTGCTTTGTCATGATAAGTTGGTCACCCTGCTTAACATATGTCTGTTTATCTACTCATTAATATATTTATATCTATTCTTATTTACTTTTTCTCCTCTGTCTGCAGGCTTGGTTCACGACTTCATTAATCACTTCTTTCAAATGTATACAGGTATTATACGCCTTTTCAAAAATGCCACTTTTATGAGAAAGACCTTTATCAGCACGGATCCCCCACCCCACCCACTGCTCTCCAAAATTTCATAAAAACAAAAAGACAATTACCACTAATATATAGGAAAAATTGTTGAGCGAGCGTTCTCAGACTCAAAAATCATCTTCTTTGTCTGTCTGCCTTGATATCAAAGGCCGAGGTTGGTCATGTTCTGTGGCTGATGTGGAAGGCTTGAAATGATAATCTTATACTTGACTGTTTAGCCCCACTTGCGTTTCTCTCATACAACTGCCCTAAAACTATGGACCCTTTCAAAATTGAAGTCATATGTTCCTGCCATCACTGTGAGTCTTAATGACAATCTCACTTAGGAAAGATTTCATTGATTATTCTTTAGGATAACAGAGTTGATTGATTTGTTTTTTATGGCTTATCAACACATTGTGGGTTACTTAAAGTCAGAAAATATTTGGGATTATAAGAACACTTTTATGTTAGTGAATATTACAATATAATTTTAGAATAACATTGATTCTCTTTTACAAGTCCTAATATTTAACCCATAGCTGGAGAGAAGAAATGGATTTGTGTAAAAATTTCAAATAAAGTATATATGTAAAAGGACTATATGAATAAAAAGAAAAGGAAAACTTATATTAGCCAATAGATTTCATCCTCTGAGGGACTTTATCAAGGCAAATGATAAAGTCCCTTAGAGGATGAAAAATATTGGCTAAGCTAAGATTTTCCTTTTGTCTTTAAAAAAAATATATATATATATATATATATATATATATATATATATATATATATATATATATATATATATATATATATATATATATATATATCGCTTTAATATAAATATATATATATATATATATATATATATATATATATATATATTATAATATATATATATATATATATTATCGCTTTAATATATATATATATATCGCTTTATATATATATATATATATACATATATATACATATATATATTATCACTTTTATATATATATATATATATATATATATATATATATATATATATATTTATATATATATATATATATATTATATATATATATATACATATATATATTATATGTTTTAATATATATACATATATATATTATAGCTTTTAATATATATACATATATATATTATAGATTTAATATACATACATATATATATTATCGCTTTAATATATGTATATATACATATATATATATCGCTTTAATATATGTACATATATATATTATCGCTTTAATATATATATATATATATATATATATTATCGCTTTTATATATATATATATATATATATATTAACGCTATAATATTATTTTAGTAGTTATAAATGTTATTTTAGTTGGTACACGTGTTTAAGTTACTATCCATGTTTTTGTTTTAATTTTCTTAAATAGGGAAGTTAATGTATAAATTATAGAGTGATATTAAATATTAAATTATATAGATGTTTTTTCAACCATTTTATCACCCAGCACACTTGAACAGGTAATCTTCCATGGCTCATTTAAACCAAATGATAAATAATCTTCATTATATTGACAAATAATTGTTTTTAATTTGGTTGCAGATGTACCATCATCTAATGTTGTTTTCTTACTTGTCCATTTTAATTAAACACTATATAATAAAAATAAAAAATATGATAAGTACAAGCAACACGTCCTCACTACTTTGAGCACAATTTAATAGATTGGTTCTCCTACTGCCCAGTTCACACACCTCTGCAGTCTTTTGAACAGGAGTAGAGATTTATCCATTGTCTCCTGTTTCCAGTTCCTTCTAAAGTCCACTTCAATTCTATACTTTTAACATCTCCAACTAAACACTGAAATTTTATTTACTAAATATTTTTTTTCTCAATAAGAGTAGATAGGTTCATCTACCATCCAGTTTGCACTCCTCTCTGGTCACATGAACAGGAGTAGAGGTTTATCCCTTGTTTCTTGTTTAGCATTGGGTTTCAGGTTCCTTCTAAAGTTTTTTCATTCTCTTTCACTCCTGGTAGACCTTTATCACCTTGCTAAGTATGAATTGATTAAAAAATAGTACAAAAAAAACAATTCAATACATGCACAATTCCAATATGTATTGGTGTTAATCTGAAAGTCCTTGTCAAATTGCAACATCTATAGACATATCAGGCAAACATATTTTGTACCCCCCACCCACACACACTTTATATATCATGTATACGTAGGGCGCCTCAGCATGAAGTAATGGTTAGCAAGCTTGTCTGGCTAGAACAATTATGACTGAGTAGTGAGTTCGATCCTCACTGGGTGCTCCATACTTTCAGCCTTGTGCCACATGTAAGCAGCGCTTAGAAAATCACTATATCATGTATACATTTATTTATTATAATGATATATTGTATAATTAATTTAAAGGGATTTTAAGTTTTATATGTACACTTATTTTACTTTGGGCTTCTTTTGAAAATAATCTTTATAAACATTTTTGCTGCACACCAGTGGACAATCACAAATATATATAAATCTATTATCTCTATCTGTTCTATTTATATATATATATATATATATATCTCATAATTCATTGAGTCTAAAAGAATCCTTAACAGAATGCAGAAAGCACTGGACAGCTGTTTCGTCCTATTTTGTGACTCATCAGCAGTGTGCATCCACTGCCAAGAATTGAACCTAGACTATTACGATATGATGCAAGCATCATACCCACTGATAGAAGACATGACTCATGGGGGCACAGTCCACTAGTATAAGTAGACTCAGATGAATCACACGACAGAATTTTTGAAGAGCTGGCGCTATAATAAGTCTGGTTTGTTATCTCTCCATTAACAAGACCCATTGGTCCTGTGGGTATGATGCTTGTGTCTTATCGTAATGGCCAAGGTTCAATTCTCAGTAGTGGATGCACACTGATGATGAGCCCAAAATAGGATGAAACAGCTGTCCAGTGCTTTCTGCATTCTGTTGAGGATTCTTCTAGACTTGATGAATTAATTATAATTATTCAAATCCCTCTTCATTTCTCTTTTTCTCTCTCTCTGTATATATATATATATATATATATATATATATATATATATATATTACAGTGTGGGAAACAAATATTCATACACATACAAGTTTTTAATTTATTGAATTTACAACTAATGAATAAACATACTTTTTATATAATTAACTGTACACAGAGAAAACAGAAAATAAATTTTGATCCTATAGAAGCAAATATCATTTATCCACCATCGTAATATAGCTTCCCTTTGCATTTTCCATGCTAACAGTTTCTTTTTTCGCACTTCTCACTTCTGGAACTCTCTTCTGGCTCCATGTTTTCCAGCCAATATTTAAATGCAATGTCAATCACTATCTACTGTCCTCCTGGTTATTCCTGCTATATATTTAATCCTTGATAAAATCCAAAAAAGAATCAGTGATATCATTGGTCCTGATCTCACATTTCAGCTTCAGTCACTTTCCTGCCATCATAAAGTTGCCTCCCTTTGCATTTTCTATAAATACTTTCATGGTAATTGTTCAGATGAGCTCTTCAATATGGTACCTAGACTTTATGAATATAAGTGCAGTACTAGACTAGCAACAAGGCCTCATCAATATATGGTTGAGTTGGCTAGATGTAACCATAAACTCTATGCTAACAGTTTCTTTTCTCACACTTCTCACTTGTGGAACTCTCTTCCGGCTCCATGCTTTTCAGCTGACTTTAATCTTCAAAACTTTAAATGTAATGTCAGTCATTATCTTCTGTCTTCTTGATCTTTTATTATTCTCTCTCTTTAATAGAAGTTTTTCTCATACTTTCTAACACTCAGTAGCCCTAGTGGTTTTATTACCTTGCATGGGGTGAAATGATTAAAAAAAAGATGCATAGATAAACAGGTTGAGATAGATGGATTGATAGATAGATAGATAATGACAGGTTGAGAGAGGGAGAGAGATAGATAATGACAGGTTGAGAGAGAGAAAGAGAGATAGATAATGACAGGTTGAGAGAGAGAAAGAGAGATAGATAATGACAGGTTAAGAGAGAGAGAGAAAGAGAGATAGATAATGACAGGTTAAGAGAGAGAGAGAAAGAGAGATAGATAATGACAGGTTAAGAGAGAGAGAGAAAGAGAGATAGATAATGACAGGTTGAGAGAAAGAGAGATAGATAATGAATGACAGGTTGGCAGGGAGAGATAGATAATGACAGGTTGGGAGAGAGAGAGAGAGAGAGATAATGACTGGTTGACAGAGATAAACTGATAGATAATGATGGGTTGACAAAGATAAACTGATAGACGATGACGGGTTGACAGAGCTAGATTGATAGACAATAACGAGGTTGAGAGAAATAGACTGATAGGTATACAATGATGGGTTGAGATAGACTGATAGGTATACAATGATGGGTTGAGATAGATAGACTGATAGATATACAATGACGGGTTGAGTTAGATAGATTGATAGATATACAATGACAGGTTGAGATAGATATACAATCACGGTTTGAGATAAACTGATAGATATACAATGACGGGTTGAGATAGATAGACTGATAGATATACAATGACGGGTTGAGATAGATAGATTGATAGATTACAATGACGGGTTGAGATAGATATACAATCACGGGTTGAGATAGACTGATAGATATACAATGACGGATTGAGATAGATAGATTGATAGATATACAATGACGGATTGAGATAGATAGATTGATAGATATACAATGACGGATTGAGATAGATAGACCGATAGATAGACAATGATGGGTTAAGAGAATCTGATAGATAATGACAGGTTGAGGTGGAAACAGCTAGATAAACTATTTTGTAAGTGAAAGCATGCTATAATCATCTGCTTAAAATGTCTTTACTATTCATTTTCATGATGACAAAAAATATGAGAAAAATGAATAGAACAAATAAATTAGATGACAAAAAGAAACTATAGCAAATAAATAAAAAAAAACAAATGAGATAAAAGAGGATAAATGCAAACACCAACAACAAATTAGAACAGCAGCAACAACAGTAACAAAAATAACCACTTCCTTCAAGAGAGATGGTAGGATGAACATGCTCATAGGCAGCCACAGCTAATAAACGCCCACTTCATTTTGATCAGGGATTTTATCGATCGTATTTTTATTTTCTTTCCATCATGTTAATTGCTGTTGCCTCTTTATGTTTGGTTAATTTGAAAATACATATGACAATACAAAAATTAGCCGCTTTCTTTCATTTCATTTTTAGCCTGTTTTCAGTTCATCCATTGTGACAACAATGTGGACGAAGATAAATAACAAAGAGATTTTATGCAGATTTTTTTTTTTTTTAAGCAAATCGCCCCCAAGCAAAGTTGGGAGTGGCACTAGCATGCAAGGGGTTACAGAGATTAAGATTAAAGAGGAGTGTTTGAAAAAGGATAAAGAGAAGGACAGGGATCAAGATCAAGGCATTAGAAGATATCAATTGACATTACATTTGAATATTTGAAGATTATACTATCAGGGCAGCAAGTGATAGGAATGAAGTTCCACTGATGGGCCGTCCTGGGTATGACAATAAACTACGTCCATATCCTGGGTAAGATGATAAACTACGTCCAACAGCAAGGCCTCTGATCAGGAAGTTTTGAGAAGTGTGGAACCACCTCTCAATTGCTGGTGTTCCCAGGTCCACCCTGACCCGGGGTGGTAGCACCTGTTAGGGTCCCTGCTATGGGCAAATAATTAACCCCCACCCCCGCCAACTGGGGTCAAAACATGTAAAAATAGGTTTTAATACCAGCAAAAATTTTGTAAAAAAATTATTATTAGCAATACATTTTTGAAAAAAAAAAAAAAATATACAATTTTATAAAAAATTACCAGAAAAAAATTTTAAGGAAAAAAGAAATAAATTTTTGAAGGAAAAATATTATCAGAAATAAATTTTTGAAGGAAAAAATATTACCAGAAATAAATTTTTGAAGGAAAAAATATCAGAAATAAATTTTTGAAAAGTGAAAGTAGCTCGTCGAAACAGTTACCATGAAAATACTTGTAGAAAAGACAGAGGGAAGCTACAGCACATATGTGAGAAAGTGACTAGATGAGATGACAGATCAGGACCAATCACATTGCATATCTATCTCTAGATTTTGTCGAGGACCTCGAGATGAACAGCAGGAGCACCAGACCATATATGGCAGCAATATTCCATGCTAAGTCAAATGGTTGATTTGTAGATTTGAAGGATGGATTCAGGTGAGAAATGATTATGGCATGCTTTCATTCAGAAATACCTTATCCAAGTCTCTTTCTATCTCAATCTTTTCATTATATATATCTATCAATGTCTTTTAGAATTTATCTTAGTCTGTTCATATCTGTCTGTTTTTCTATCTATCAGTGTCTTTTAACCTTAGCCTTTTCATATCTACTTATCTCAGTCTTTTCTTCATCTATCTTGGTCTTCATCTATCTCAGTCTTTTCTTCATCTATCTCACTATCTATCTGTTCATATGTACCTCTTTCTGTACTTAACTATCAATCTTAGCTTTACCATATCTATTTATCTATAATATCTCATTCTGTTGCAGTTTTTTCATCTCCCTATCTATGTCTGTTCACCTCAATCTATCTACCACAGTTTATTCACATCTATGTCTCTATCACTTTATTTGGCCATCTGGCTTTATTTTGGCCTTTTTCTCTCTTTTAGCACACTGTGCTATTAACATTACTTCCCTTTCCACTACATTCTTTTTTCAAGGCCTCTCATTTGCAGAACCTTAATGTTAATTTCACTCAAAGGTGTTTTCTGTTGCCATAGCAGGATATGACAACACAACTATGAAACTTAAACAAATCCAAATTCAGGGATTAGAGTCACCTTCAGTGGCAGGATAAACATTTTGTACAGCAAATGAAGTCACATAGAGGGTGATAAAGGTTAATTTTCTGCCCATGACTTACCTATAATTTAGGCTCTTGTCAAAGGGTAAGAAATGCATTATGTGACAGTCTGGTGAGAGGTATGAAATGTAAGTCACCTATGAGTTGGAGCCAGTTCATCAGATGACTTCACATGTACTGAAACCTCCCATTTCTCTCACCTGATATGACAAAGACAAAATCAATAACACAAGGCATGACTATCCAGTAAGATGTTTTTTTCTGTCTTCAAATATATGAATTTGGTTCATTCCATTAAAAAATTATTGTCATATTCAGTTTGTTGAAATAAATAAAAAGATTTGTTACAAATGTTATATCTTTATCTGTATTCACCCAGACTATATTAATGCTATTGGCGTGGTAAGATCTACACCAGCTATTCCAATAATTACCGTCATATACAGATCCTCATGACACTTCGTCTCCAGTTTTCACGATGACCTATAACATCTGGGAGGTCTTCAGATTGGTATCCTATATCATCACATTTGCTGGATGTATTTTTTGAATAGCTAGCCATGCCCATGTTTTGATGTCCACAATAGAACTTCACTGATAATTCCATCCTTACTTATCCAAGAATGTCTTTCAAAGACTTGCATGATGGAAAGTCATAGAGTTGTGTGTCTATGTCTTGATTTCTACAATAGAAATTCGCTAATAAGCTGCTCATCCTTTCTTCTCTCAGAATGTCCTGCAAATATTGTTGTTCTCTCCTAAATAACTTATAAGATGCCACAGTGTGTTACTGAAGAGAAGCCGTTCATTTTTTAATTTGATGATAAAGACTTTATCATTTCAAAAATTCATTCGATTTTCATCTGAAGCTTGATAAACTCTTTCACCAATAATCATTAAAACATCAGCAGTTGACCTAGAGAAATAAAGTCTATATATTATTTATCTGAAAGAAGATCCTGAGATGTTTGAACAATTATTAATTAGAGCCTCTAGTAATTTGCCAAAAAAAGGTAGAAGGTTAATATGCCAATAGTTGAAAGGATTAAATGGTTTGATTGAGTTCTTAAAGACTGGAGCTACAGAATAGGATTTTCAACAAGCCTGTAAGCAAGAAGTGCAAGACATTTATTGTCTAATTCAGGAGCACATTTCTTAAGGTCTGTTGCTGTGATGCTATCAGGTCTTCATGATTTGGTGAGGATCCAATGTAGAAATGATAGCAGAAACCATGGAGAGACTTATATCATTCAACAGGGACTCAGTCCTAAGTGGAAAGTCAAGCAAAAATATCCCAGATGAATCAAGAGTAAAATTAGAATTTACAAGCCAAACATTCTGCTTTATCAAAAATGATGTCAACACCTCAAACTGACTGAAGAGAAGAGGGATAGAATACTTTCTCTTATTTAACAGACTATTACAAAACCACCAGTAGTCATTAGAGTGAAAGTTGTTAGACTATATGGTGCCTCATTCTATCAACAAACAAAGACCTATCCCCTTTGAGGAAATGTTTACAATTATTACACACAAATATTCATCTATTGTGATTGGAACTGTCATGCTGGTATAGCCAGAAAAAGTGATTCTGATCCTATTTCCAGCGTCATTCTGCAGGCTTTATTCTTCAGAATATGGATGATAAGTTTTGTTATATGACTCATTATGCTGATTCTCTGATGGAGTTTACATTTACATGCATCTGGCTTCTTAGGCAGTGATATGAAAATCGATCTACTGATGTTCTCTGGTATATCACCACTGTTAAATATTTGATTTATTATGTCAGTAATCTTATCAATGCCGAAATATTCTAAGGCCGCCAGCATTTTACAATTCCATCTCATCCTGCTGATCTGTTTCTGTTCTGAGTGCTGATTTCACTTCAGATTTTAATATTTCAAGTCCTTCAATATTTCTATTTATTGCCAGTTGTTCTCTTTCATCATGGAAGAGTTCTACGATGTATTCATTCCATCTCTGAAGTATTTTTTTTTCTCGAATATCAATGACCCATCCTTGGATTCTATGCATCCTGTTGATGAACAAGTCTTTTGTCCTGTTAGATCTCTTATATTTTATGCATATCTGCTTTATCTGTGATACTTATTGTTGTAGCATACCTACGGACAATAATGGGTATGTCCCCATTCACATAAATACAGTAGTAAATACTGTATGTTAGTCTGCAGTTGGAGATTCATCTCCAGCTGTGCTGGTCAAACTCTTTGCCTCTGATCAGAGAGGATCCCCAGATAAGACTATGTCGAAGGGCAGAGCCTCGTCTCAGGGAAACAGCTACCCAACCTCATTTTATACGGGGTCTGCGGGGAATTTTTGGCCAAGCCTACCTCACATTAAATTTGGCTTTGTGCCACATCTGACCACATGGGGCGGTTGGTAGATATCCCGCAGTTGGAAATTCATTGTGGAATTCACTTGACTCACTTCTAGCAGTTGATTACTACTTCTACGCGCCGCTGGCGAATCTTATTTGTTGTTCTTGTCCTAAGTATTATCGTTCATTACCAACCTTCGTGCAATTATTCTATTCAGTAACCTTCCTTAGGTTACAACATTTATTCTTTCTATTTCTGCAAATTTTTCGTTGATTTATTCCTCTTTAGTCTGCTTCCACTTTTTTCCTAATTTCTTTGTGCAGAGTCCCTATATTTTGTGCTTTACCTTGGTATTGCTTTTTATCTCCTTTACATCATGTCAAGAATCTCATCTGTCATCCTTTTTTTTTTCTTTGGTCTGATTTCAATTGCAGACGCTACTAAAGCTTCTTTAATGTGTCCTCATCAAGTTTCTGTTTTCATTTTGCCCATTATATCTGCTTTTAACACTGTCCATATATTTCTCCTTCACATTTGGGTCATTCCAGAGTCTGTCGTATAGCAATTTGTGTGCTGCTTTGGCTATCTTTAATTTCCATAGCTTTCACTCTAAGTATATCACTAAAAGGTGGACCCTTCCACAATCAGCACTTGGGTGTGTTTTGCTGTGTAGAACTGCATTCCCAAATCTCTTATTGACTGTTATATAGTTGACTTGGTTTTTTGTTTATCCTCTTAGGTTTCCCCATGTTCATATACGTTTTGTATGTTCTTGAAACCAGGCTAATACCCAATCATTTGCCGTGCACCATAGGTACGTTCATTAAGAGTTCATAGTATGAATTTGCCAACCATTTCATCATCTCACCCTCTCTCTTGCCTACTTTAGCATTCAGGTCTCCCATGGCAATTGTAATTTTAAAATAATCATAACTCATGCTCAACACAGATCATGGCTCTCCACAATCTTCTGTTCCATGCAGCTCTAAATAAATTCTGTCTTTTCCTTATTTCTGAACCCTGTTCCACCTTCCATTTTCTCAAACACGTCAAGTATGTTATGTGTTGTTTTCCACTGTTCCTCTTGCTCTCAATCCGTCCTGTGAGTAGCAGATTTTCCAAGCCCTTCTTTCTCATTATGTGTCCCAGAAATTTCAGCTGTCTCTTCCTGATGTTAAGTATAAGTGTGCTTTTTGTTGTCACTGTTCGAGAACTTCATCATTGCTCAAATGTTTGATATATGGTATCCTCAGCATATTTCTGTAGAACTATGTTTCTGTTGCTTCAAGTCTCTTCATCTCTGAGGAGATTGTCCAGCATTCACTGCCATACAGTAGGACAGATATCTTGTAACGATTTAGTACTCTTTTCTTTGTTTCTAAAGAGCTAGCACAAACACTCATATATTCAATATCAACTTCATATATTTTTTTTACTAATGTGTTTATGCTTCTTTAACTTTTGTCTATTGTTTCTTTATGTATTGTTGTAAAACTTCAGCTTTGTTGCATGCATTTAAATTGTATACGGTTGTACCTCTGACATCGTAGTCTTTGGTAAAAAGTCGTACAAGCATACTGCCATCAATCTTTGTAACATTCTGATGTATGCATAATGGAATAGACGTCTTCTATTTCCAATTCTTACCCACAGGAATATCTGATGGACTTTTTGACATTTTTACTGTCCTCAAAGTCAAAAAACAATAAATAAAAAAAAGGTGTCAGTGACTAACAAAAGCACGTCTTACTGGTAGGAGCACTGAGACACAACTTACTCAAAAGTGGGTTATGTTAACCTGCTTTTACAATAAACATTAAACAACCTAAAAAACTTGTCCTCACTGAAAAGTTCCTTTTATAGAAATAGTTCAAGGGAGATAACTGATGATCCACATTGCATTTAGTCCACTTCTTTTTTCTGCAAAGTTGAGATGTATGAAGTACTTCTAACAATTTAAGTGTAGAAGCAGCTCTTTTTGTCAAGGAATCTACCAATTGTAATTTCCCATCCGCCTAAAAAAATACCTTTATTTCCCCCTCTGACACCATTTTCCTTTGCTTTTCAACAGTGATGGCGATTTTAAAGCCTGTTTCAGTTGTCATCTTGAGATGCAGTATAGGTGGCAGTATGTAGAAAATAATATAAAATATCCAACAAAATTATTAGGTCTCGGACTGCTACCATTTGTTTAGACAATAAACATCAAACAACCTAAAAAACTTGTCCTCACTGAAGAGTTCCATTTATAGAAATAGTTCAAGGGAGATAAGCTGATAATCCACAGGTTTGGCATGGATCATTTTGTGTCAAGTTTTTGTAGCAAATACACAATCGATGTACAGACAACCTCTACAAAAAAAAAATGCCAGTTTTCAGAAATTCAGATAAAAGATTGTGTACCATATATGTATTTAAAAGCATCAAATATATTGAATATTCATTCAAATTCAACCACATTTGCAAAAGGAAATTTTACTTTTTAAAAAAAGATAATAGGCATAAAATGTTTTGTTTTTAATTATAAATGTTTAAAAAATACAATTGCTGCCTAAATAAACTGATCGTCCTGGGTATGACAATAAACTACATCCGGCAGCAAGGCCTCTGATTGGTAGGTTTTGAGGAGTGTGGAACCACTTCTTAGTTGTTCCAAGGGCCACCCTGAGCCAGGGTGATAGCACACGTTAGGTTAACAGCTATGGGCAAATAGTTAACCCCCAAATTGGGGTCAAAACACTATGAAAGTATAAAAATAGATTTTTATAGTAAAACCATCAGCAATACAATTTTGAAAAAACAAATATTACCAAAAACAATACATTTGACTCTAGACAAAAACCCTCTTTGAAATCTGATCTACAAACTGATTTCTTACAAAGAATACATATTCTATTCATATGAACCTATCCTAAAAATTTTGTTGGCATTAAATGACCCATTGAGGTGTTGGTATACTATATATATATATACCATTGAGATGTTGATACATACACACACACACATATATATATATATATATATATAGTAAATTGTTGATACCCCCTGAAGAATAGACGAACAGGTCCGTCTACGAAACTCTGGAGTCAGGATGCTGAAGGTAACATCAATCAACTAAGTCACAAATTTTACTCACATTTATCATATATATATATATATATATATATATATATATATATATATACCTACAAAGTTTCGTTGAAAACGACTGACAAGGTTTTAACTATAGACAGTACCTTGTCAACCGTTTTTAACGAAACTTGTATAAAAGAGAGATTGCTGCCGAAATACACAATTTTAGATACGTGTGTGTGTGTTCCGCCTTTGCTTAAATTTACTTATTCACACTCCTCAAAATTTCGTTGATGTCTATAAATATCTTCCCGGAATGCCTAGTTTGGAATAATGCTTAACATTCTATTCCGGAATGTCTTTAACTAATGCAGCCAGCTCTATTCCGATGAGTGCCCTTCCTTATTGTAGCCTTGTGCCAAGCTAAGTTAAGCTTAGAAAATAGCTATAAGTAGCTGTCCTCGTTTCGTGGCTTTTACGTTACGACTGAAGACAAGAAAATATTCGGTAACAAAAACTACTTATAAAAAAAAAATGAAAGGAAAATGAAGGCAAAGAGACGACATTGCTACTCCGAGCATCCCTCAACACGAGCTGCCAGCTATATTTAGATCGAGTCTTAAAAAAGACGATTAAAGAAAGATACTTGAAAAGACATAGAGAGTGGTACACATGCCGTGAACACATACAATAGGGATGGTTATCATTAATGACAATAATCCTAAATATTTAATATTGGAGTCGTAATTCCGGTGTGAGAATATAATGAGAACAAGGGATGAATAGAAGAGTGGATGACGGGAATGCTTTTGATATCTAGAGCGAGTTGAGTGGATGGAAAAAGAGTAGGATAAAGGCGAACAGGCGGTAGAGATGAGAGAATTAAAAAAAGAAAGAGGAAAGTGGAAGAAAAGAAAAGTGAGGACGAGAAAGAACAACACAAAGGCAAGGAGACAAAAGATTAGAAAACAAAGAATAGAGAGAAAAGGGAGGACAAAAATAAAGGTAATTGGAAAGCAGAGGAGAAAGGGAGAGGTAGAGGAAGAAGAACAAAGAGAATGAAAAAGGTTATTAGTTAACAAAGAAAAAGGAGAGAAGAGAAAAGTGGGAAAGAAAAAAAATTAGAAGGCAGTGAACAAGAAAAGAAACGGGAAGTAGAACAGACAAAGGAGAAGGGGGGGAAGCAAAATCTAGAATAGGAAGAGAGGAGAAAAGAAAAAAAGAAAGTTAAAGAGAATCTGAAGAGAGGAGGAAAAAAATAAAAAGAAGAGAATGAAAAAAAGAATCGAAAAAGCGGACGGGCCATAAGAAGGCGAAGGAAAACAAACAATCGTGGAAAATGGAAGAACAAGAATGAAAAGACAAAATTTAAAAGAAAAAAAATGAGAAGAAACGCGAGAATTTCTTTGAGAGAAAGACATATAAGAAAATAAAAGAGGAGGGGCAATTGCAAGAAAGTGGTGGAGGAGGAGTAAAATGAAGGAAGAGGAGAATGTGGAAGAGAAGAAGTAGAATGTAGAGGAGGAAGATAGTGAAAATGGATGTGAGGAGGAGGAAGCGAAGGATATGATGAGGAGAAGGAAGAGGTGAACAAGAAGGAGAAGAATAAAGAAAAGGAGGAGGAGGAGGTTGAGAAATGGCTGAAGAAAGTGAACTAAAAAGAGTCGAAAATGCACGATGAGACGTACGAGGAGGAGGAGGAGTAAAACGTGGGGTAGGGGAAGAGGAGAAATATTTGGAAGAGGAGTGTTGATGCAAAAAAAGGTGACTAGCAGCAACAATTGACTTTAGAATTGCCAGATGCGACGAATAATTAATGAAGCAAGCAATTAATTCTGCACACCCAGAACAACGGTGGAATGCAGTCATTCATTCACAAACGTACGTAGGGCCCTTTAAGATCAAGAGACGTGTGAGTATTTCGGAGTTTGTAGATTTGAGATAGATTCTACAGAAGTATGCTTATTATACCATAGACGACGATTATTTGTTTTAATCATTTCACTCCAAGTAAGGCGATAATGCCACTAAGATTTAAGGAGTTATTGAGAGCGATAGATGAAAAAGGACAGTAAAAGAACAGGATGACAGAAGATGGCGATTGAGATTGCATTTAAATTTTTGAAGATGATTAATAGCAGGGAACTAAGAAAGCGGGAGAGACTTCTAGTGGCGAGAAAAGAAACTATTAGAACTTTAGGTCATATCTACCTATTTCAACAGTAAAACAATGAAACCTAGTTACCAAGCATGTAGTACGTTTGAATTCATGGGATCGTGGTTCCAAGTAGGAGAACTTATTATAATTGCCATGAAAGATTTTATAGAAAAGACACGGGGAAGCCACGTCATGGCGGTGGGATCGATATGCCATGTCAGGACCGATGACATTACAGACCGTTCTTTGGATTTTGTTGAGAATTTCGAGATATATAGAAGGAACACCAGACCACATATGGCAGCTCTATTCAATGCAAGGGCGAACTGTAGATTTATAAACGTACAAGATGCATTTTGGCGAGAAAAAGTGTTTGGCACGGCACAGTGAACCAACTTTCCTAGCAGCAGACCTAGCAATTGATTCAATATAACTCCACTTTGTGGAAAAACGTTAAACCAAGAAGGTATATGAAGTTGATCTCCTAGAAGTTAGCATCAGCCATGCTGATGGAAGAAAAAAAATGGTTCCCTATGATCATTAAAAGAAGCAATTTATTTTTGTAGGCATTCAAATTTACGAACCATTTTTTTGACCCAGTTAACAACTCATTGGATACCATTTTCGACCGTTCTAGGTATGACGATAAACTGCACCTGCGTCCTGGGTAAGACGATAAACTACGTCCGACAGCAAGGTCTCTTATCAGGAGGTTTTGAGGAGCGTGGAACCACCTCTTAATTGCTGGTGTTCCCAGGTCCACCCTGACCCGGGGTAGTAGCACCTGTTAGGGTCCCAGCTATGAGCAAATAGTTAACCCCCAAAACTGAAGTAAAAAGCATTATAAAATATTACCAGCAATACGTTTTTGAAAAAAAAACTATTGCCAACAATACGTTTAAAAAAAAAAAAACTATTGCCAGCAATACGTTTTTCAAAAAATAATGTTACTAGCTATACGTTTTTGACAAAATAATATTACCAGCTATAAGTTTTTGAAAAAATAATATTACCAACTAAACGTTTTTGAGGGAAAAAATATTAACAGAAATAGATTTTTGATAAAACAAAAATATTACCAAGAAAAAAAAGTTGTCGGCATTAAATATCCCATTGAGGTTGACATACCGTAAAACAACAAACCAAAGTAAACCATTTTCGAGAGCAGCTGCCAGATTTACGTTGCCGGGCCTACTATTCAGAAAGGAGTAAATAATTGTGTCCTCAGTATAAATACCGAGTTGGGAAATGATGACATCGGGAAGGTCGTTAATGAAAATAAGAAACAATCTAGGCCCAAGGAAAGAGTCCTGAGTAACTCCCGTATTAATATGAAAGGATCTAAAAGTGTGGCAGTCAACACGTTTTTTATTACACAATTGGTAAAGAACGATTGGATTAAGTTATATCTTTGGCCAGAGACACCATAGCCCTTGAGTTTATGAAGAAAGCTAGCATGTCAAATCCTATCAAACACCTTCGAGTCACAGCACGAGCCTTGGCATTCTTATCTATAGTTTGATAGATAAATTCTGTAATAACACATCAGCGGTTGAACTAGAGAAACGAAAGTCTTATTGCTTATCTGAAAGAAGAGAAGTGAGATGTTTAACCAATTCAGAGTTGATTTGAGCCTCTAGTACTTTACCAAAAAGAGGTAAAAGACTAATAAGACGATAATTCGAGGGATCAGAAGGTTCACCAGAGTTTTTAAAGAGAATTTCGAACGAGCAAGAAGCAGTAAGGTATTTGTCGGAGAGAACAGGAGCCAGTTCAGGAGCACATTTCCTTGTGGCAATTGCAGGGATGCCGTCAAGTCCGTATACCTTGTGGCTATCTTGTTTAGATATGATATCAGAAACCATGGATGGAGTTATATAATTTAGTAGATATTCCGTTCGGGTTGGGCGAGAGTCAGGCAAAATACTTCTGGGGTGTCGAGAGAGGAGTTGAGTTGTATTTACAAAATTGCTGACTGACTTGCAGTGAGCCTTCAATTTGAAACAGCTCTCATGATGACATGGTGACAATTCTATCTCGATTGATTTGTTTCAGGCACAGTGGAGTAATGGATAGCGGCTCGGATTGAGGAATCAGAGAGCCGAGTTCGAATTCCAGTCAAATCCATTACATTTACTTAACGTGCTAACACCTTTGGGAAAGGTATGTAATCCTCTTCTTCACCCTCCACCCAACTATGGGTAAATAGCAGGACAGAACGGGTTCTATAGCCTTGGATGGCAACTGGTCTACCACAGAAAGAAATGGCTACCTACTGCAGGGAAAAAAATCTGCCTCGTCAGTCATGTGTCGAAAGATATATGATCGCCTGACTGATTTGTTTTTACGATTTATCAACCAGGTTATTTAAAGCCAGAAAATGTCTAGATTTTAAGAATGTTTTTTTGAGAGAATGATGATTTACTGATAAGTTCTACTAATTAATCCATAGCATGGAGAAGAGGAGGTGGATTCATACCTGTCTCAAGGGTATTTGTACGTAAGAGAATATATTAATGAATCCTACTGGAATCTGGAGTCGGATCTCCAATTCCGAGCGAGCCGTTATCCATTACACCAGCCGCAAATCCAAGCTTACAGCACCTGGTAGTCTTAAGCGGCTACCCATCTAGGTACTGACCCGGCTCAATATTGCTTAACTTCAGTGGTCGCACGAGAACCGGTGTTTCAATGTGATATGGCGATAAGCCTTCATTTTAAAAAATGCACATTACATATTTATTTAAAACTAATAAGTTTATTTAATAGTTTTTAAATAAAAACTGTTTACTGTAATTGATGTCATATCAATTACACACAACACTGGCCTTAAATGCAACGTTATCTGGCTTATTACGTTACTAAATGTTTACCACATCCTAATTCCATCATAATATAATAAAAAGTCATGTCGGAGTTAACTCTTCCTTCAGTTCGTTAACCCTTTCACCAGGGGTCTCTCTTCCCTGGCTATAAATAGCCGCTGACCCTTCGCCTCTATCTCTCTTTTTCCTTTAGGCCTGTGCGCCGACACCTTGAGGTAAATCTCTCCTTTTCATCAGGCTTTCAGCTATCAACCTCGAAATGTAGGCGCTAACAAGGGATAGCGTGGAAACACGCTAAGCACAATACACACGCACGCACATACAGAATATTCACACACGCACGCACGCACATACAGAATATTCTCATACACTTCATCCTTTGTACTGTTTCCATGTATTGTAACTTGTTATTAATATATATTTGTATATACATATATTATCGGTCTTGTGTTTTTTTTTTGCTTTCTTTGCCTTCTTCTTTGGACTTAATCAAAGTCCAACCTTTTTATGTAGTTGGGCCCGGCGGGCAGGAGTATCTGAACCTTACATGCGTTTCTTCTACATCTAACTTCTATCAACAACCTAACAGCCACGCCCCTCTACAGTCATCATAAATAAAACTGTGGCGGAGTTGACAATCGCTTAATTCTGACCCCAGATAAATTATCTCCCCACCAAACAAATATAGCTTTGTGACACATGAACGAATACAAAAGGGTTAAAACCAAACTACACATGAATGAAAGAACGAGACGTCAAAAGTTTTGCTTTCAGTAACAGTTGGAAAAAATTATTTTTGAAAATGATACTAAATTTTCGTCTTTGTGTTAAGAAATGACAGTCAGTATTTAACAAACCCCTACGAGGAATGTATGTGGCACAAGGCCGGGATTCTCCGAGCCCGTAGGCTCAGTCAAAAAATATACCCTTTGAACCCGCCTAGACGGATTCAGGGCCTGTCTATCTCCCCGGGCGAAACTTTACCCTTCGGCAAAGCTTCGTCCAGGTTCCTCTCTGCCAAAGAAATTACAGTCAGTTGCTGAAGAAAATACCGTAAATACTTATGTATAAAGCCGGCTTCATGTATGTGCGACCTCTGATTTTTTTTGGCATTAATTTTTACCCTGACAGAAATAAAAGTATCTGTGTTTAGTACAACCAGTCTCCGAAAATGCATGATTTTTAACTTCAAAAAATTACCTGTGTAAATTTACCTATTTTTTTTTTTTTTTTTTTTTTCGTAAAAAATCTGATAATAAAAACTTGAACGATACTCTACGTATGTACGGTAAGTCATCCGAAACACTGTAAGTGTGTGGGATTAGCTTATAAAGTGGACAATTGACTCTCTTTGACTTGACTGCCTCTCTGTTAGCTGAAAGAGTGTATATGTGAGTCAGCGACACGGAAAGACGAACGAACGTACCCACTAAAAATAACGTTTGCAGGCTTAGAGAGTAATAAGAATTAATGTCGGATTAAAAAAATATCAAAATCACATACACACACACGCACACACAGATATATATATATATATAATGAATATACTGTTTAATAAAAAAACAGAGCGCCTACTCAAATACGAGTATCCACTGGAAATAACGTTTAAAGTGATAAAAATCTGTCGGATTAATAAAAAAATTAATTCTAAATTTTTCATTATATATATATATATATATATATATATATATATATATATATATATATATATATATATATATATATGGGGAAATAAATATTCATACATTTGAAAAATTTTATTTTTATAAATGTAAAAGCCTTAAATAAAACAAATCTCGGCACATTTTATGTATAAAGACACATACTATTAAAAAATAATAATAAACTTAATTCTTATTCTAACAGAAATTAATGCATTTTTTAATTCTAACTGGTGAAAAAAGTATTCATACAAATCAATTATTAGAATAAAATAATCAATTAATTATGAAAAAAGTATATTCTAGAATGTTCCAGTAATGTTAGCAGTAATTATAGTTAACGCTATTAGCCATTATCAGAGTATTCTGTAATTTCTAATCATACGAGAAGGTTCTAATAATGTCTAAAGGTAAAGAATTGACTATTTCACAAAAACAACACATTTTATCTCTTTGGAAAGATGGGAACAGTTACAGAACGATTTCTAACAACCTGAATATTCCTTTTACTACAATTGCTTCGTTCATTGCAAGGTTTAAAACTCGTAACAGCGTCGAAAACCAAAGACGAACAGGTGCTCCGAGGAAGATTTCTCTAAGATCAGCAAAGATATTAGGACGCCAAATCCAACAAAATCCACAGGTTACCCGAGAAGAGCTGCAGGAATATCTGCGTGCATTAGGGATTAAAGTAACTCAGCGTACAATAAGTAATGAACTACACAAAAACAGTCTGAAATCACGCATCCCAAGGAAGACTCCACTCCTCTTGAAACGACACAGAGATGCTATTCGTTAGAGAGCATAAGGGTAAAGAATATTCGTTTGGGGAAAAATTACTATGGACAAATGAAACTAAAATAGAATCGTTTGGTCATAATTATCGAAATCATGTGTGGAGGAAGGACAGTGAAGCCTACTTACCAAAGAACACGTTGCCAACTGTAAAGTTTGATGGTGACAGTATCATGATCTGGGGCTGTTTTTCTGCAAAAGGTGTTGGCAGAATATCAATAATAGATGGCAAGATGAATGCCTAAAGCTACCAGAAAATCCTGCAAGACAATTTAATGATTCGGTTTTCCAACTGGATAATGATCCTAAGCATACCGCTAGATCTACAAGGAAACGGTTAGCTGAAAGTAACGTTGATGTCTTGCAATGGCCAAGTCAGTCCCCAGACTTGAACCCAATCGAGAATTTATGGCGATATTTGAAAATTCAAATTAGGAAAAGAGCACCAACAAATATCAAGAATTTGAAGACAATATGCCAAGAAGAATGGGACAAAATACCACTCAATGTGTGCAAATCATTAATTGAGACGTACAGGAATAGACTGGTAGCTGTTGAACTCAATAAAGGATATTCCACAAAGTATTAGTTAAGGCTTTTACATTTATAAAAATACAATTTTTCAAGTGTACGAATATTTATATCTCCCCACTGTATATTATATATATATATATATATATATATATATATATTATATATATATATATATATATATATATATATATATATATATATATATATATATATATATATATATGGTGTGATGGGTAAATTGCCGCCATTTTATTTTTTTAATTTCGCGCATGCGTTTTTTTGTCGACTGCACAGTTTAGTAGAGCGAGTTGGGCACCGTCTGTGAGAAAAAGAGAAGAGCACAATGACACAATTCATTCCGCCAGAAATTTGGAAACGCCATACTGTACTGCTTGGCATTCATGTCAGAAGCTCTAAATATTATTAATATTAAATGTCATATGACGTTAGTAACTGTGCACAAATGTTTTATTCGGATTTGACCTTTAATCACGATTATCACATTGGCTTATTTCAAAAACGTCTACGCATTTACTTCACAATGCCTCGCACTCCAGGAGCCAGACTATTCAGATTGTGAAGGTGAGGAGGGTTTAGTGTTGGCCAACCCCAAAGGTAGACCAAGTTAACATCAAACAGAATCTTAATTAGGATTTCCGCTTTCAACTGTAAAGTTAAATATAAATAAAATATATTTTCTGGGCTGACGTTATCTATGTGAGCATTACTCTCCCCTAGTGTACCAAGACGCCGGCTAAGTGGTGCTATCCAGGACTATAAAAGGAAAAACGCAATCCCCACTCCGTTCTAAAATACGGTAGGTAGAAGACTTTTCCAGTCTTCTCTTCTGGGGAAACTTAGTAACCCAGCCACATCACAGACATACACATTTTCTAACAAGAAAGCCTATAGTGTTTTCCTTCCCTTTCAGCTGTTTACACACAAATATATTTTCTCTTTTCTTGGATTCTTATTCTTTATCTTAAAATATATGTTAAATTTCTCCATACGTTGTAAGTTATGCCTTTCGAAAAATTTAAATTCGATTACTTGGAAAGTTCTCAAACTCATTCCGATACAAACTTGTTAGCATATATTCCTCTACACGTTTGTGGGGATGTATGTAATGCTTTATCGTGAAACAATTTATTTATAAATCATATTATAAGTCTGCTTGTTCTTGACTTAATAGAGCGTACCTTACATCATGCTAATGTCTCATAAGTGAAATAAAGATAACGCTATCATGTTTTTAACATCTGCTTCAGTGAAATGAAAAGCAATGTCGATTTTCAATCTTTTCATTTGTATCCTCTTACTTCTTTAAATGATGATCTACATTTATACTTATGATTGCTATTGCAATATTTTGTTAAAGTTGCTAAGTTCAAATATTTAATGGTGTAACAAAGGAATTTCCACGGAAATTAGAATTTTCTCAATATTGGTTGGTTACTACTAATTTTATTGGGAAAATATTGACTTACATAATAAAATCTGACAAATATTTGTTTGCATTAAAATGCTATGTCGCAATTTGTGTGTGTGTATGTGTTTGTCTGTTTTCTAATGGGGATACTGAATGGACAGGCAACACATTTGGCAAGACCGTCAAAAAACAGATGCGGTAAATCTTGAAGGCTGGGTTATCCTCCATGGGCCTAATGATGCATAATGTGGGTTGGGCTTCATTTCATACAGACAGCACTTTGTCCTCTGAGATATTAATTTTCAACTTCTTTTTTTTTCTTTTTTTTTTTACATCTTTACGTCGTCATAGCAACAGTTCCTACTTGATTACGTTTTTTGTCGACTTACCAAGCGTGTAAACCAAATGTATTGTTTATCTAATTGCTTTCAAATAAAATATTTTTATCAATATATATAT